TTTTTTTTACTACATTCCCAATAAAGTTTTTTATTTGTTTATTTAAAAAAAAAAGTTCACGAACCTGTGGGAGAACAGACTGAACAAAGTTGTGCAGGGAAAGGGGCATAAATTTTGAGGCTTCCCAGAGGCTTCCCAATCTTTCATATATAGCCAAAGCAAAGAAGTGGCAAATTGTGTAGTGAAATAACTTGCGCCCGAGCCTGAACGCAAGTCTTACATTTGCACAGCGTAACACTCAAAATTGTGTTGACTTGGGTGATCTATTGGACAGCTCATGGTTGAAATTGTATTCTATTTTTTGGGTGGTTTGCTGAGGGGATCCATCGGGGTAGTCCATGGACTGGACCATAGGATACTCCGTGGACTCAGTCCATAGTGATGGTCCACAGACCAGGAGTCAGTGTTTTCAGGTCCCCTTCCATTTTAATTCCATACTTTCTTTGAAAGCTGAGCTTTTGAACTCCCTCCCTCTCCTCCTCTGAATTATTTTGACCATCATCGAGGTGGATATGATCGCTAAGATAGACTTTAATTCTATGAATCTGACAATTTTAGCAATCGTAGTGACTGTGGCAATCATATAGAAACTGACAGTCATAAGGATTACCCCCTTTTTCTGTAGCAATCAATTAACCATCACAGCAATTGCAGTGACTGAAGTGATCATATGGAAAACAGTGTTACTACTCAAAGTGTTAATTAATATAAACACCTTTAGTTTGTTTCTCAGCTAACTAGGCTATTACTAGAAGTTGCATTGTGTGATTCTTGTTTTTTGAGCATTTGTTCTATGTTAATGTTATTGATATATTTTTCTCTCTTTATTCTTCAAACCAGGAGTTACTCAGAGCTGGCCTCACTTGATAAGGCTCTTCACATCGTGTTCCCATTTCTCCCCTTGCTATGGATTATGGGTGTCTTGCCTCCTCTTGATGCACTGTTCCCATGGCTAGCAGAGCAGACCTTGGTACTAGTGCTAGGTGGCTCCCCACTAGCCACAGATGTAAGGTTAGTAAACAAATTGTCTTGAGATGTTGATCAGCTTGTCACAGGCATGGGATAATCTGAGAGAAATCCAGAGTATTAACCGACAGGATTCATCAACCTACATTGCATGACATCCTGCAATTACCCTTTAGATGCTCTTTGATTGTCCTGTGCTCACGACAAGCTGGTCAACATTATTTCAATATTAATCCACCAAACTAATTCACTCCTCCACATTTATAATGATTTGTTTCATCTGTCTTTCCAAAATTTCACATTTGCAGAAGAAATTAAGATATTCACAGCTGCTATAAAGTAAAAATCCACTGTTTAAGGGCCTTGTAAGGCTTCCAGCAAGGTATTGGCTGATCTTGTGTTAGCATTTGGGAATAATGTACATGTAAGTGACCTCCTAGGAGAAGAACGTTGGTACCAATGTCTTGCTTTGGATAGGCATGTCCCCACATGTACTACCCATGGAAGAGCAATGTAGAGAGGTAAATCCCTGACCCCTCCCCTTCCAAAATGTACATGTAGTTCCACCCCCTCCCTTTGTAAGGTTCTTGTTGCAAATCCCATTTTCTTTTCCTCACACTTTCAGGTTGCTGGTGATGTTCATCTTGTCAAGCCTGGTGGTTGTCATGGCAACAGTTATCAACAACAGCACAGCCATTATTATCATAGCGGCTTGTTTTGGCTACATTCTAAGCCTGGAGATCTTCGGTCTTGCACTACAAGCAAGGGACACAATAAGCAAAGAGAAGATGTCAAAACACCCAGTCACACCGTGGAGGCTAAAAGAGATCATAATATTTATTGCAATGCTGTTATTAACAGCCGTCGTAGCTGGTGTTTCACATAATTTTTCATCCAGTGCTCACAAGATTTTTGAAGCCTTTGGCTTTACTTTTGTGGTGCTGCTGATTCTGTTAAAGGTTCTGGGAGATATGCAGTGTGTCAGCATTTTCTTTGGTTTGTTTAGAAATCCATTGTACCCAGCAAGTATTGAGTCATCTGGAGAATTTAAGAAGAGAAAGAAAACTTTGAGATACACAGGTCTTTTGCGTCAGACACTGCTTTTCTATGGTGAGTACAGTTACATTGTCTCAGTAAAGAGCTGCAACACTATCTACACGTACTGCATGACCATTGTCTAGCTGACCCATTATCCATTGACATTTATTTATTTATTTATTTATTTATTTATTTTTTAACATTTATTTAAAGACAAAACATGTGTACAGGACTAACCTTATGTTACATTACCGCCTACTTACATTACTCTTCGTTACACTTAGAACATTGCTGTTCTTATTGCATTGCATTAATTTTTGTGATTGCATCATTTCTGTACTTGTTATTTACTTTGTTTTACAACTTTCAATTATTTACAATAGTAAGTTACACTAGATGTCTTCATGGCCTTAAGTTATCTACACCTAGCTACACTTCTCTGATTTCTCTTACAATTATGCAATGCTAAATAACAATTTGAATGGATTTGTATTTCCTAATTCCTACACTGACATTGACGCAATTAGAATTTCCTCAGTCTACAGTGTCTTTGAGTCCAAACTTACATTTTACGATAACTGCAGAAACTCTTGCATGCTCATTGGCTAATTTTCTTTGTCAATAAGCGGACAGACACATGAATTTATAATTCATGCGATGCATCAACGAGTGAGAGTGGCCAATTTGACAACTTGTTATCGTAAAAAACAAATTGAAGTCAGCTTTTCATGTGCCTGTTCTGTTATTGACACTGAATTTCGTCATAACATTGTCAAAGTAGTACAAAGTAGTACAAAGTACTTTGACAATGTTATGACAAAATTCATGAACGATAACAGGACAGACGCATGAAAAACTGACGTCAATTTGTTAAAATGAGGGAATTTAATGACTGCTCCACAGAATATAGAGTATCTTCAAAGCAACAACATTTTCTGATCAAGCTTGTTTCAGATGCACATGTATGCATTGTATCATAAGCGGTGGAAATGTAGCGTTGATTTGAACTAGTTATATGATTGTGGTCATAATAGTTGCTTTTTAGATGTTTATAAAAGGCTGAAAGTTACTTAATTGTGATAGGCACATAAACTTATTTCCCTTACAATGACTTTTATTTCTGTATTTCAGTGATACCACTACTACAAGTTGCTTTTCTTAGCTTGTTCCTTGCCCCAGAGAATACAAGCATTTCAAAGTTTGCTGTGGCCATTGGTACTGTGAGAGCCCTTAGGCAGGTAAAGACTGAAGGCCTCACTTAAATACTTACAACTTTTTCTGTGTTAAACGTGTTTAATGCTAGTAAGAAAAGAAGTAAACCAAGTCTTTGTGTTTACAAGTATAGCCCGATGGAAATCAGCAAACAAGAGAAGAATTTCCAAATTTATCTAACTTTAACTTTTGTGAAAGTGTGCAGGTACTCGTGGATTCCTTAGGAGTTTGGCATCACTTTAGAGTATTCAGGACAGATCACCATTCGATTTACCTTTTAGGATTGCACTCAAAATAACAGGAAAAAACGCTGTCGTACAAATCAGACACGAAAGAGGTTGTAATGTTTGGGTGAGATTAAGAGGTGTTACTACTCTAGGAAGTTGAAGACTTTTGGCACATTTTTCAAGTATCATAAGTACAGTGTAGCAGGATATATTTTTATTCGTTACAAAATTGTATTGACATTACAGGTATGGCAGAACACCTTCAACTCTCTATTGGAGGCGTCTGTTGTTTGTCTGAGTGTGACAGCTCTCGGTACTGATGTGGCTGCCTGGTGGAGTACTGCCGGACTGGGTCTCCAGTTGATGCTAGTGGGAGCCTGCCGTGACAGGCTACAGCAGCTACTCAACAAGGTTGCTTTTTTGGTGACCCTGACAATCACATCGTGGAAACTACCAAAACAGAGACACAAGTCAACTGTTCCCATCTTGGTCTCATCCGCAATATTGTTCCCTGTGGTTCTAGCGATACTTGGAACTTCAACTGTATTAGCAGCTCCACTACTGCCACTCTTTTGTCTCCCTGTGTTCCTGATAGGCTTTCCGCGGCCGCTGCGTTCCTGGCCCACAGCCGCCAGCACTGCTGCAGCAACCTGTCCTGACTCTGTGTTTTACAAGCAGCTGACACCTCAGGTAGCCTCCACCCTGAGTGTTACTATGGCAATGGGCACTCTGGGGAATCCTGCGCCGGGAGACCATTACTTGGTACGATTTCAGGACCGGTTGATTTGGGTCCACGTACTTGAGTGCGGTTATAAATTTTGCACCATGGTAATGAAGGGCCTTGAGCTGCAGGAGACCTCGTGTCACACCGTGGAAGCCACACGAGTGGATGATGTGTTTCAGGATATTTTTGTACATGAAGGCAAGTGGCCGCTGGTGTCTTTGAACCAACATGCAGGCAACGTTCTTCGTCCGTGCGACTCATTGATACTCGACACCTACTCAGATGCCAAAAATGTGCTGACTGGGGTTATAGATCAACCGGAAAATTTGCGAAGAAATTCAGAAAATTTCTTCAAGACTCTCGTTTGGGTTTTGCTGAATTATTGCAAAGATCGCAAGTTTGATAGTACAAAGGAACACAGACAGCCAGTCACAATTGAGCTTATGAAGCAAGAAGTAGCGATGACAATTGAAGCTTTACCTGCTACACCACCCAAGGAAGCTTCATTTGACAAGCTGTTAAGTCACAAAGATGTGCAGATACAGAACTTGCCACAAACCTCAACTACTCAAAATCAAGAACAACCCACAAGGGTTGCTACGGCTAAACGCCGTCGAAGTGGCTCTTTGCCTAGTCTGAGTGACAGCGTGTGGTCTCAAGAAAGTTTAAAACTGGATGAAAGCTTCACGAGCCTTGGAAAACACAAGCATTCTGTTAGCTTTGGTGCTTTTCCTGTAGCTGACGAAGGTATAGATGATTTAGAAGAATCTTTTAATCTTGGTGGATTTCCAGCGCTGGATGTTGGCCGCCCTAAGGTTTCTAAAAACCAGGTTTCAAGTGAAAATTTCATAAAAAACGTTGGTCCAGTTTTGGGTGATTCCAAGTGCGGCATCCTGAACAAAGGAGCTGCCAATAACAATGCAAAATCAGGTGCAGGCCATACTGTGAAGCTAGCGGCATTCACATCAGAGCACGCTCATAGACTTGATTTGCCATCTCAGTGGAAATCTTCCATACCAGTGGAAAGATATCATTTAGCCTCTTTGTCATCAAAATTCCCGGATTTATGGTTTAGATATGTCGTGAAAAGTTTAAACTTTGGAAACGAAAGCGAGGCCATTGCTCAAAGCATTCTTAGCGATTCAGCTCTGACTGGTCTCTACAAACAGTTAACTTGTGCTTGTTATGCTCTGATGGAAGTTCTGGGATTCCAAGGATCCTCTGCGGTAGCTGCTGGTGCTGGTCACGTGCACAAGATGTACACTTGTGACTTTCCCTGGTCAATGTATGTTGATTGGCTGGAAAAGGAGGCTGAGCTTAAGTCTCTAATCCTGAAGGCTTACAGGTATGAAGCATTGAGCTGTTAGTAAAGAACTTAGAATTTTATGTTTTCTCTGTTCTGTAAGCAGTCCGAGGAGAGATGAATCTAGCAATATGATTGATTAAAGAAGAAAGGTCACTCCAAGAAACGTATGTTTTTTTGTCAACACTAGTAGAAACGTCGCACTAAGTTTAGCCACTCACCATAGTTTCGGCCTCTAAAGTGCAGGTTTTCCTAATGAAATTCGTATCCAAAAACGCCCAAAATTCGACATCGTTGCCGCCATTTTGAACATTACTCAGCAAACAGGCCGCGTTTTCGTGACGTCATTCTGTCCAAGAGATTTTGTCCAAACGTCTTCCGACAAGCCTTTTAACTACCACTCTGGATTATGGCTGCTCTTGAGCCGTATTATTTTGGGCCAAACATGCTCCAAATTCCGAAAATGATAGTAGTGAAGTGGATAATCGCTTAGAAAAAAAAACATTTTGCTGACCTTGTGAAGGATGCAAAGTCAGTTGCAGGTTTTTCTCTTTCCCGCCAATTTCGAGTGGGACGGAGTGATGTCACATATGAACGGCCTGGCGGTCAAGTACAGTTTCAAAATGGCGGCCTCCAAAGTTGCTTCTTTCGAGACGAATTTCATCAGGCTAGCAGGCGAAGACAAAAAGTAAGCTTTTTGGAGGGACGTTCTCCTTTAAGTGATCTAGAATTTTTCATTTTCATCCGTACTGCTCGAACTTACTGGTCAGCTGTGCAGCGTTTCCTTTTTTCTGTAATTGCCTGATTTACGCAATGGAAAACGCTTTCGAGGAAAACATGCTTGAAAAATGGCTCTGGGTAACAGGAAAGCACTGCGTTCCATTTTTCACGGAAAGTGGAGAAAATTTAATGGCCCTTAATCCAAACACACGTTCATTTATTTATTCAATTTTCACTGCGATTATATAACAAAGNGTAACGCCAGCCCAACAGCCAACGCACATAAATTGCAAAATGACCCGTTCACTACATCAAGTTCCGTACTCTGAACTCACTTGCGCCCCGAAGCACGGGGCGCAAGTGAGTTCAGAGTAGATCCTACGTTGGCAGCGTTTATCGTATGCGGCCCCTTGCAGTTTCTGGTTTCTCATTGATGTATTTTCGGACCGTAGGTCTTTTCAGATCCGATACGCTGCGTTTTTTAAGCATGGTACTGGCCATGGGGTTGAATGTTTAAATGTTTAGGCTGACCTTGTCCAGCCACATTTATTCTTTTGCTTTTCGAGATACCAATCTTGACACTTTGTGTCCTTGCGCCCCGAAACACGTGATGTGGCTACGCGTGTTTCGGGGCGCAAGTGAGTTCAGAGTACGGAACTTTATATAGTGAACGGGTCATTTTGCAATTTATGTGCGTTGGCTGTTGGGCTGGCGTTACATGTCTTCGCTACACGGTGCTGACGAGCCCCAAGAAGGGCGAAACAGCTGTCCACTGTTGCGATCCTACTGTACTTTATCGGTTCTTGTCATGTTGGTGTCTCGAAACGTTTTTCACGTAGTATCAGCCTTGCAGTCTATTGTTTGTCTTCACTAATAGAAACCTCGCACTAAGTTTAGCCACTCACCGTAGTTTCGGCCTCTAAAATGCAGGTTTTCCTTATGAAATTCGTATCCAAAAAAGCCCAAAATTCGACATCGTTGCCGCCATTTTGAACAGTACTCAGCAAGCCGTGTTTTCGTGACGTCAATCCGTCCAAGAGATTTTGTCCAAATGTCTTCCGACAAGCCTTTTAACTGCCACTCTGGATTATGGCTGTTCTTGAGCCGTATTATTTTGGGCCAAACATGCTCCAAATTCCGAAAATGATAGGAGTGAAGATAGGGAAGTGGATAATCGCTGAGAAAAAATATATTTTGCTGATCTTGTGAAGGATGCAAAGTCAGTTGCAGGTTTCTCTCTTTCCCGCCAATTTCGAGTGGGACGGAGTGAGGTCACACATGAACGGCCTGGCGGTCAAGTACAGTTTCAAAATGGCGGCCTCCAAAGTTGCTTCTTTCGAGACGAATTTCATCAGGCTAGCGGGCACTTCATGTTTACTTGCTATAGGCGAAGACAAAAAGTAAGCTTTTTGGAGTGACGTTCTCCTTTAAGTGATCTAGAATTTTTCATTTTCATCCGTACTACTCGAACTTACTAGCCAGTTGTGTAGCGTTTTCTTTTTTCTGTAATTTCTTGATTTACGCAATGGAAAACGCTTTCGAGGCAAGCATGCTTGAAAAGTACCTCTGGGTAGCAGGAAAGCACTGCGTTCCATTTTTCATGGAAGGTGGAGAAAATTTAATGGCGCTTATCCCAAACACACGTTCATCTGGATGAACTAAGGGACGGTGCGTTCTCTGGGAAAATCAAAGATCGGATTCTTGAATCCAAAAACGAATTTTGCGTTTCTTTCTGTAACAGAATAATGCGAGATCACTCGGATCATGGTGCATCAAAGAAACCGAAGAATCCACTGTGAGCAATTATTTCTTTAGGAGAATCGGGCATTTTCCCCTCAAAAAAACATCCTAAAAAATTCTCGCGTTAAGCCTATCTCTTTCCTCACATGTTGATTTTTGTAGGTATGCTTTCAAGTTAACTTACGACGAAGCTGTTCTTGGGGAAGTGACAAACGAGGACGAGCTCGCAGAGTACATGACAGAGTATGATAGAGACTGGTACCTAGGCACTGAGACAGATCACGATTGGCAGCTGTCAATCATGAATGAAAAGCCATTCCTTTTCTCGCTGGGTAGAGATAAGGGCAAGGTAAGTTGTTACTCTAAATAATTCTTGTCTCTACTTCTTTCCCAGATGAGTAGGAATGTAAGGGTTTACTCAAACTGCAATGAGAAAGGTTAAATATTTTAAATAATAGGTTAATAAAAAGAAATTTAATTTTGTCGTGTTTGTTGTGTTAGTTTGGTTCTAGCTTGTAGTTGGTCAGTGCGAATTACTGTGTTCTGTACGTTTCTCAAAAAGGCTCATTCCGTTTACCGGTGTTAGCCACTTTATTTCACATTTATCAAATGAACGTGAAAACAAGATAGATTTAGGCAGTGGTATTTATTGACTGACACATTGAACATTATGTGAAGTATATATGAAATAATTCATATTTGAACT